TGCGTCGGGTTGTTTTTTTTTCTTCTTGCTGTTGCATTTTTTTTGTGTTCTTGTTACCGTTCTTGTTATTGTTGATAATTAGTGAGGCACACGCGCGGTTACGGTAAAAATTCATTTTTATTGTCATTCTGTATGTTGGCAGCCGGGACGGCTGCGAGCTATGTAGGGGGGAGTGATGTAGGGATGTTAGAGAGAGGGCCGTTATGTATGGCAGTCTATGGGAAAGAAACACAGTGGGCGGGGCTACGTGTGTGCACAGGGAGATGCCCTCTGCGACGTCCGAGCCAGACACCCTGGGGGGGGCTGGTTTGGCGTTATGATCCCCCGGGGCCCCACCCCTCAAGGAGGGTTGGGTATAAAAGGGGACGTTATGTGGGCTCGGGAGTTAGTTATGTTATAGTTAACTAAGAAGACCGAAGACGTCTTAGATAGAGCCCTGGACTCCCTCGTTCGATGTCCTTGTCAGGGCCGAACAGGACCGAGCCAGCGGCGTGGTCCCGAAAGCCAGAGCCGGTGCTCTTCTAAGAGCTGGTCTGGGACTCCGGGTACCGGCCCGACTTACCAGTGTCGGGCCAAGTAGCCTCCCCTAGCCCAGTAGTGGAGGACTGTGAGGTAGGCTAGGACTTAGCCAGGAAGTGTATCCTTGAGCTAGTCGGGTGAGGGGGCCGATACCCCCTCCAGTGCTGTATGTCACATACGAGTTGTGTTGAATAAATATCCGTGTGCCTCCACCTCGGCGTCAAGTGTCTTCACCGGTACTTCATATACACACTCGGGGCATGTGCTGGTAGCGAGTGGCTATTTAGGCGAGTATCGTCGCACGCGGACATAACCACACCATCATTATTCACAGAGCCCTCCCTGCCCCGGGCCCCGTGCCTTGGGGGGCTCCACGCTTTGACGTCGCGGTGTCAGACGAAAGACTGCCGGTTTAGTTTGAAGGCGTTGGAGGGCCCATGGCCGTTATGGACGGCCATGATCATACATCACCTTTGTTTGACTAGCGTCCCACCACTGACTGCATTATGGACTACAAGTATTCATTTCAGGTTGAGTTAACCTAGGGGAGCCCAGAGCACAGAATCAGATTCCACTTGCCACCAAACAATATTGTCCAATGGCTGGGTTATTCAACCTCTGCGGCTGGTGTGTCGTGAGTACATTCTGCGAATATCCACTGCACCAATGCTTCCCACAACTATGTATGAATATTCAATTTACAAAAAATATATATATCTTCAGTTTCGCCTCGTAGGCTGTCAGATGTGTAAGGGGGCAAAGAAGAAGTGTGATACTTGGGTGAGATTGATGGACTTGCTCAAATGACCCACACGCGACACAATGCTGCTGAGTGGCGGGGACGCGTCGAGTTTGTCGAGCGCTTGTTGAGTCCGGGCCGGCATCGCGGCCGCCGCCGTCTCCCCGATGTCTGCCGTTCACCAATCGAAAAGTGGCGTTCGTGCCATTCCTCTCGAATTGAGAAGGTCAAGCTCGGAATCGTGACCTTCGGAATCGGTCGTCGATGCTGAAAATGGTTACCGGTTAACCCATAATCGTTTAACAAACGTTGTTTTTTTTTTAAACAAAATGTAGTTGTAGGTTTTGATGCTCTCCGTGTCTGTGCAGATCATCGCCGGACTTTGGTCTTTGGTGGACGTGACTGGCGCATCAGACGCCGGTCTGATGTTGACCCACGGACACCACAACGCGCACCCATCGTGTTTTATAAGTTCTGGGTTAAACTAAGGTGACATGCGCAGACTGTTCACAGTTTCATGGAGAAGTGGTGGGGGAATGTGGGGAGTGAAGCAGAACGACATTGACGCCTACACACTGCGTTACAGATGAGATTTTTAAATAGAAAAATCAGCATGGGCAGTTGTGGGGATGGTCAGGGGGAGGGAGCTCCAGACAACGATCCTGGGAAAACCAGGACTGGAGTGCACGTTAAAGGGAGCAGCTGCAGGGAGGGGCACGGTTAGGTGGACATGAGCTAGACCTTCAAGGATCTTGAAGGCATTGAGGGTTTTATTATTATTGAACAACATTTATATACCCAGGAAAGCCTCGCTGAGTCTCGAGACTCTTTTTCAGGAGGGTCCTGCCAAGTTTCGATTGCCATGGTCTTCCCAAATTGAGTGATTTGCGAGCAATTTGAGTTACTTTGGCAAATCTGGATTGCCATGACGCACACACACATGGCCTATGCGTTTGTTGTTTTACTTCACATGACGTCACAAGATATTTAACGTCCGCTGTGAAGTTGACGTGAGTGCACACCACAGTATTGACCAGGGCGGCCAGGGGGAGCGAACTGCGAACCTCAACAACGCGCGCGACCACGGGGCCACCGCCCGGCATCTGCCAACTCAGAGGTCTTTATTCATGCTGGAGGAACCCGATGTCCAGGAGGGGCGGGTCAGAACCTTACAACAACAAACGTTACAAAAACACGACAGCAGTGCAAAGTATTGGAAAGGTAAACAAATACAACTACATTTCGATTTAAAGCTTTCGTGACTGCAGGGATTCATCTTCTTGGTTCTTTCGGTAAAGTCACGTAGAAGGGAAGTAATAAAATAATAAAAATAAAACATAATAAAATAATTCTCACGACGTTTCGGCCAAAACGCATCAGCCGTCCTCAGGTGAAGAACAGGTCTGTCGAGGCGACAGCTGTGTCGACGTACATGATGCATGTGTGATTCTAAATGTGGAGGGGAAAACCGGAGGATCTAGAGAAAAATCCACGCGACCACGGGAAAAAAGAAACGCAAACTCCAAACATACAGCGGGCGTCAGGGCCGGGATCGAACCCACGCCCTCCTGTGTACGAGGCGAGAGAGTTAACATCTCACCGAGGAGAGGCACATGCAGACTCAAGATATATGACAGGCATCGTCAGGCTCGAGTTTGAACCCACGACCTCCTGTGTACTAGGAGAGGTAGTTAACATCTCCTAGCCACCGTGGCGCCCCTAGGTTGTAAACATGGCCATGCCACGTCCATCAGGGTTGTCATCACCACCAATGTCATTATTAAATCATGAACAACGGCAGCAGGATCATCACGAGAACACCTGTCCCACGTTACCATCGCCATTGTCATCATTAACGCCACTGCCTTCGTCACGATAATTAACGACGTCGTAATTGGTCAGTGCCACTGTCGACACCATCACCGGGCATTTATTACAGACGAGTGACTGTCGTGAATTATAACACTGTCCTAGAAGGGCGAGAGAGTTCAAACTTTAGCTTGACTTTACCGAAAGAACCAAGAAGACCGAAAGAACCAAGAAGATGACTCAGATCTTATTTCCATGTGGGGTGGGTGCATATGACACAGAGGGGGCAGATGCCCTTCATAACTTTTGGATGGAGGTGGGGCGAGCGATATATTGTGTCCCTCGGAACCCTTGATAGCAGTGCGAGATGTTAACTCCCTTGCCTGTTGCATGTAGTGGCGTGGGTTCGATCCCGACCCTGACGCTTGTATATTTAGAGTTTGCATGTTCTCCCTGTGGTCGCGAGGAATTTTCACCGGGTCCTCCGTTTTTTGTCTCTACATTTGAAAAAATGCGTTTAGACTTTAGAGTATTTAGCTGCTATACATTTCCACATAAGCCACTTCGTTGAGCTATCATGACGGCCCAGGTCGCTTCTGAAAATGCGCTTATAGCTCAGTGGACTTTACCTGGTCAAAACATAGTTTAGTTTTATAGTTATATTAGTTTGTGAGATTCCTCGGCTATCCAACAAGGATTCCCCCATCGTGGCTGCTTTCTGTCTCAACTTCGAAATCCTTCTTGTGCTTTCACAGCATTCACAACCACCACCTCATTAACCACCACCACCACAATTACTACCATTGTCTTCATAGTCCCCACGAACAACATCCGACACTAACAGCCATAGGGGCAAGGCTGAGGCCCTGTTGTCAGTTACTAAGCCCTCTCGACAGCTTTCATTTCATGGGTCCCCTTGACCATGGGCGCTGCCGACACATTTCAATTGGGGGTCTAAATGTCATTGTGATGGGGCTGAGGGGGGGGGGGCATGAGGTGGATTGGGCAGTGTCGAATGGGGGTGGGTTTGGGGCGACACGACAAGTGTTGTGGAGGAACAAAGCGGCATCTTCTGCGTGGAGGAGCTGTAGCCGATGGGATGTGATGTAAGCAGCCAGCTTGGTTTAACATTCCAACGGCTTGGGTTCCAATCTTTTTGGTGCCAAAATCAAGTCACATGGCGTCTACCTTCCTGAGTACAGGGATTGTATTATTGGGGGCTGAAGGCTCTCACCTACAGCTCCCTCCCCAGCCCCTGTGGCAAAGCCCCTGAATACTCGACATGGGCCCCGTGGGTCCTTAGCCTCCATTTTTAAATCATTGCCCCCCCCCCTATATGATCCTCTGACACCCATACACTCGTTGTACCTCAAACCAACCTTCGCTCCATGGGTGGTAAGGCTTTCTCCTCAGTTGCCCCGAGGCTATGCAACACACAGCCTATTGAGATCAGATCTGCTGAGCCAATCTCCACCTTCAAATCTCAATTAAAAACAAATCCGTTCAAAAGGTCTTACAATCTGCCTTTAATTCCCTCCTCTCATCTCCCACCTTGTTATATTACCTCCCTTGAATGTTCTCTATGCTGCTCTGATGTTTTATACATATGCCAATGTTTTCTTCATGTACGTTTTTTTGTATGTATAATATTGAATATTTTTTTCCGTTGAGTACTTTGAGCGTGGGAAAAGCGCTCTGTAAATAAAATGCATCATTATTATAGTACTAGGCATTTGTTTAAAGCTGAGTTGATTCGGTTAGCTCAGGCCAGTTGGAGATACCGCTCTCACCGGACTGTGTTCGTTATCAGTATCAAGAAACTGGACCATCGAGAATACAGCAACTTGTGCTGACAAGTTCCATCTCGCTCTGTAATCACACACACACACACACCAATCAAATGCTCTGACAAAGTTTTGAATGCAACTCCAAATTAGATTTTGCAAAAGCTTTACCACTTCCAAAAACACAAAACTTTAAACGTCACAATATACCGTAATATGCCTCTAAAACAAGTACAAAAAACATAGCAGGTCTTTTACACTCTGTGCTGACTTAAACAGCCCACCGTGTACGAGTTTCGCATAATTGGCGTGGCTTCATCTCAATTCCGACCGCAAATACTTTGTACGATAATTTTGTTGTTGCTGTGAATAAATAATGTATCATGTTTACAGGTCAATGACCGTATCACCCGGAATATGCCCCGAGCAAGTCAGATCTCGGAAGCTAAGCAGGGCAGAGTCTAGATGGCGTTCGGATGGATGACCACGTATTGTTGTACGCAGCCAACCGTGATCATTTAAGGTGCGGGGAAGGACAGCAAACTAAATACGAAAAGCAGTTCTACAGTTTTCAATCTAGATGATTTAAAAGTGCATAGCTCCAGTGGCTTCCTAACATCCGAAGGAAGAGCGTTCCAGACGGTCGCAGAAGCGCAAGGTGACTACGGGACTTGCCACGCGGTGGGCAGCAACATCCACTTGCGTACCGTACTTCTATGCTCCCAATGCCACAATGACCAGCGTGGTGAAGTATGATCAAATAACCCCCACGAGCCACACGCGTTTGGGGAGGCCTTCATCCAGCAGTTGATTAACAAAAGGGCTGTGCAACGTACTTGGACGATGTCTATAGAGGCATATTTAAACAAGCATATTCATAGAAAAACAACCTTTTACATTCACCAACGGGGGGCCATGCTGTCACAGTTTACATCAGCAAAACAAACTATATCACTTCCTCCTAAAATGCCAGTCTAGGTAACTTGGCATTTTAAAAGCATCAAACGTAAATTGACAACTTAAAAAACATATCGCCAAAACACACTTTGTTGTAATATACCAAAGCCCCAGACTTTAGATGTTTCTTACAAGCGAGAGCGTCGGTTTAGTCAGCCGGTTGTGACAGCCACTCAATGTTTACTACAAAAAACAACAACAATGCGGTTCTGTGATCAATGTACATTGGATTATGGCTGCATTGCACGACTTCTTGTGTTGTGGTGCGTTTTTAAAATTGTCATTGTGTTTAGATAACACAGATGATCTTTAATAATCAGCCCTCCAATTTAGTTTGGAGGGGGCGACTCAATGCTAATCCGTGATTTTTCGTGGCGGGGATAATTCTTCCTGAAATCAAGGGGACTTTGCTTCACGCGTCAGGCCTGAGGCTTGCCACGTGGAGTTGTGGGGTCACATGGCAACACGAGTTCAGTCTGCACCTCCATACCGCCAGAAGGCCTTCACTCAGGAATACTCCAATAGGATTATGAGGACTCGAAGAGAATGTTTCAGTGCCCCTCCAAGAGATCGAGATTTCCAAAAGACACCGAAAATGGTGCTTATACGTATGCTGTTTGCAGACAATAATACTTTGGTGTTAAAAAGTGTGTCGTAAACCGTCCTCCACCCGACACGGTCTATTAATAAAACTGTCACGTGAATCCAATGGGCCCAATGTCTCACTGCTTCAGCACACCAGCGCGTTTGCGAGTAATCTCGGTGCTCTGGAGATGAATTCCATCCAGCTTGATGAGGTCGTTAACAGGATCTCAATAATATCGCTAATTTATCCAGGCACGCTTCTTTCAGGATGGTCTACATGAGGACGTTTGGCTGTTTTGCCGTTGTTGTCGAATTACCATCACCCAATTGGAGCCTCAGATTCAGGCTTGGCCAAATACATTGTCAAACACAAACAATTACAGAGTACGGAGCAATGGTGGGCAACCGAGACGAGTCAGTGGGCCACGTGAAGCAGCCCACCTCCACCCCAGCGGTCCGCACGCTTGACATCACGCATCACCCCAGACACACCGGGACCAGGCCACCACGAGGAGGGGCCTCAGGTTGTCCACCACTGCTACAGAGCAATGACAGTCGTTGAGCAACCGGGCTGTGACATCTCACAACACTGCGTTGAGTCACGAACGTGAATCTGGAGCCCAGACTCGAACCCTACGCCTTGAGCCACTCAACCACCCCCGTGAATCGCGCTGTGTCCCCTCTCGGAATACCGTCGGCAAGTGCATGCCACCCACCTCCGGCTCCATGGACCCTGTGCCCAGTAGCATTTTAGCAAAGTCAAAAGATGGCTTGTTAACCCTTTAAAGGAACGTATTTTTTATTTACAGTGGCACCGTAGCCAACACTGCTCACACAGATGCAGGCGCCGTTTGAGGCGTAAATCACCTTTGACGCTTACTTACCAACACCGTATTTTGACTCACGGAACCATGTGACTTTACGACGTGTCTTCTAAATACGACTATCTCAAGATGCAGGGATCTATCAAAATGAGCACCATTCACAGTGAGATCTATTTAAGCGACCTTACTGCCAATTCTACTGCAGTGAAGTGACCATTCGTGGGATTTCAATGCACTACGCGCGTTCCATGGGCGTTGTTTTAAACGCTCTACACCAATTGAAATGGTGCAATTTTAGTAGATCCCTATGCAAGTGCCTTCGACACGTAGAAGACTTGCCACCCACGCCAGCTTCGCGTGGCAGCGACCACCACGTGGCAGTTTGCATTGGGCACGGAGCACGAGAGGGCGTCTCACGTGCCCTCTCCTCTGCTTGGTCATCCACATCGTGTACTCTTCATGATGCACTAAGAGCCTTCCTCTTGTGCTTTCACTTTCACCTTCTTTGTCGGCACAATATTCCATTGCCCCTACACTTAAACTTGTTTACAAAAGACAAAGTGTGTCCACGGCGAATCAACACGCATTGGGGAGTGCTCACCTCTGTTTGTGGCCCTGAACCTGACGTGGAAGTTCACCTTGACTATGATTGGAACCACGCTGCCAGTTGACACAACAGCGACTGTTTTTGTTTATTTCCCCAATTACATTACAACCGCAATATCTGGCATCACGTCAGGAAATTAAAACGATCCCATTTGGAACTCTCACAGTTTGTAGCGTAATTGTCATCTCTGTCGTACTCAAACTCTGCACACTTTTACCTGTAAAGAGCGTCCATGGCATGACAATCAAAGTTACAGTTTTGTTAGTCACAAAGCTGTAATACAATATGGAAGTACCAAACCAGTTATAATTATTGGCGATTGCCGACCGAGCTGAGACCGGTCACCGATGCTCCACAACTCGCTCCAGCTTGAGAAGTTGGTTCGAGTGTGGGCGGCTGCAAACCCGGACTAGAGCCCAGGAATGAGTCGTGCAGACTCAGCACCTCAACGTGAAGTGACCGACCTTAGCGCCACCCAGCCACCTCGCACACAAAGGTCACCGTTCACTTTCCACAGTTGAAGGTGGAAAGCATCAGCGAGGCATGGGTACAGGGACGCTCGACTTCGCTGCAGTGCACAATATGGCTTCACAGTTTTAGACCGAAATGTAAATATTGTTTTCGTACAAGTCGGCTTATCATTCCATGGAGATTCGTCTTTCATTTCCACCTATTCTCAAATGGCATTTAAGAAGTAAAAAAAAATAACTCAATAAAGTCTGCTTGCCCACAGCACCAAGTATCCGCAGAGACCAAAACAAGACTGCCACAAAAACACAGGGCCGAGACCTGTTTACGGCTGTGGAATAAACAGGGCATCCCTAATCGGCGGCACAAGTACAGAGGTGGAGGCTGGCACAAGTTTCATATTCACACGTGGAGTTAACGCACAGCAAAGCACACCCACTCGTCTTCAGTACCAAATGGTTGGAGATGACAATGTACCCCGTGTCCACTGCGTTTTTCAAAAGTTTAACCTAAATCGAAAAACAACTTTTATCTCTACCTCTACATATACAATTGTCTTGTTTGTTAGGGTGTCCTTTAATGGGCACTCTTAACACCATCGTAGATGAAATGTGGCCTTTGTAAAGTATAAAGACCAAACAGTAAATACATCTGAAATCCTTTCCAAGTGAAACATTGCTGAGTCTACCAAGACTATACGAGTTTGGATGTGTGACCATTTCATTTTTTGAGCATTTTATGCGGTAAGAAATCAGTGCCTGGAGAAATCGCATGGATACTCAAAGAGAACACCCACACGCCGCAAACAGGTGCTGTGTGATCGAAACCTTGAGGTTGTACTGCTTCCTCGGGCACCTCACTGCCCGTGCACATCGTTATCCCAGCGTGGTCCACCAACCCTGCCTCTTGGTGCTGAATTACAGGTGTGCACCACCACCACACCTGGAAAATGTCTCACTGGCATGCCTTAGTTCGGTTCAATGAGCTGCCCACCCTAAAAATACTTTTTGTATCGTAAAAAAATCCCCCCATTCCAACCCATTACTTTTAAACTAATGGAGCATTCTTGCAGAGCATTATGGGTAAAAGCATGACTCTTTTCGGTTTCTAAATAAAGATTTTATTTGTTAGTCCATCAAACTTTCTAGACCAATATTGTTGCGTAAACCCGGGCCCCATTGTTGAGAGGCCGTGCTCCTGCCAATAACGTCGAGCAAGTCAGCAGCCTTTGTTTAACAAGCCTGACTGCTGATGAGACCCAGATGGTCAACACTGGTCCACAGTTTACTGGCTTAACACAACTCTGCTGGATAATATTGGTCTGGTGAGCTAATAGGCCAATGGACTAAAACATACACGGCAATAACTCGTTTTCACACAATGTGCTTTTCCTATAACACGGCACTACTTTTAACGTACACTTTTCACACAATGTGCTACACGCCCCGTTGTGAAGCGGTTTCTGAGCGGTGGACGACCAACTACTTTCTTAAACTACGCGGCTGAGCGGTTTGGGAATTAAGGGCATACGCGTGGATAGATATGGTACGTAGCATACCCTCATCTCAGATCTTTGTCCTGCCATCTCACCGAGTGTGCGTACATCGTATCTTGTCAACCCTGCCAAACTTCATCATTAAGTTATTTTAATGGAGAAATAATTTTGATGGACGCATTTCTGCTTCACGTGGTACTTTTCAGGAACGCATCCACCGCGTTCAATGAGGAATTACCGTAAGTTGAGATAGAAAAGGTTTCGCTCATGAAAAGATACAAACAATATAAACAAGAATGCAACTTGTGGCTAAAATTTTATGAATATGGCACCGATGCATGTGCCATTGTCCCTGTATGCGATCTGCAGGGCTGTCATAAAGTAAAAGAAAAGCGCCAACCCACACAGTTTATTCGTAAGGCGGCCACCGGCACGCTCCGACTCATCACTATAGAACTCCATCTGATGCCGGGCACCCACAAAACATAAATACGTATTCATTGTTTGCAGTGCAAGGTGGGGGGCCAGCCTCCGCCAGCACCACGTGACCCTTACCGCCGCCATTTCCTCGAGTGTTTTAAGTTTTCTTGGATAGTCGTTCAGAAACGTAGTCAGTTCCGGTATTGTTAAGTACTTACTCGTTATGTACTTAACGACGCCGATTTTTATTAGCCGGGATGCAAACATCATCCCTAGCACGGTAGTAAATCTAACAACTAGGAGAAACCAGCACAGGCGTAGCCTTTAGAAACTCGTTAAGAGTGTTTCAGAAGCACTCGTGCTAGCAGTGTGCTAACATTGACCCGAGCATGTCGATAAAATTTAGAAATGTCCCAGGTCTGTGGATCGCAGAAGCACTCTACCAGAGGCCAACATGAAGTGTCAGATGATCCATCACTGTCCCTTCCAGACTTGGTAGACAGGTCCACAAACAGGGAAGCTAGGAAATTCTACTCAGCAAGTCTCCCTGTCCCCCAGGGCAGGGTCGTATGTTGCATACTCAGCTCAAAAGGCAATGCTAAAGCGCAAGGCGGGGGCTGAGACTACAGCCTTGGAGGAGGCAAGCGAACACGTGCAGCTCGTCATGGCCTTTGCCACCGACACAGGGGCAATGGCTACCCTTGTAGCGTTACACCTTTAACTACAGAGCTCACCGTCGTAATGGACCAGTTGTTTGCCTAAAGATGCAGGAGATAAGACCCTAAACGTTAGCTCGGATAGCAAACGTCCCTAAAATAAATGGTGGCAGAGGGGTCACGTGGTGTGGGCGGAGGCTCGTCCCTCTCCCCTTTGGGGAGGAGGGGTGTGAGCCCACCCGGCACCAAACAATACAAAGTAACGGATCGTTACATCTCCTGGGAGGAGCCCTGCCCACGATGGGAGTTCTGCCGTGGCAAGCGTCGTAGCGCGTCGGTGGCCGCCCCTAAAACCGGGCCCAGTGCGAGCACCGGAGCCCCCCGTCCAATGAAACGCCACCGTCCAACAACGTCCCGGCGGGGCCGGCAATCAGTCTCCGTCGTAACCGCCGCCGGCGTTGCCGCGGGCGCAGAAGTCGCACAGCTCTTTGGGGGGCTGCGCGTGGTGGGGCGCGTCGTGGGGGTCCGGGTGGGGGTCCGCGGGCCTCGGAGTCGAGGCCGGCGTCGCGGCCGGCGTCGGCGCTCCGTCGGGGCCGGGCTGCGCCTCGGAGGGGGAGTTGGGCGCCAGCGATCCGTACGAGTGGCGGCTCGGCGAGTCGGCCAGCGAGAGGTCCAGCGTCGGCTCCCGCAGCACCTCGGCCACAAACAGCTGCACGCACGCACCGGACGGTGGCGGGTTTAACGACGCATTTATATATTTACACGATCAGAGGTGCGGTGTAAGTCAACAAACACAACACTGATGGATGGTAGGAGGGGGACCAGGAGGAGACGCCGGTGACGGCTGGAGGGCTCGGTGAAGAGCTCGCCAATCTGCCGCTACCTCCAACCGCCCTGCGGTGCAACAGTCCGCCAAGGAAATACACCACGGGCAGATTGTATTGATCCGTCTCCTGGGTGGACGTCCTCTCGGCTGAGTTCCCCTCCCTTGGCTGCCACTCAATCATTAGTCTCCACCACCGATCGTCGTTCTCTCAAGCAACGTGCCCTGCCCAAGCACCAGTTTCCTCATGGTCGGTATGATGTCTTTCACCTGCATTTGTGATCTGTGTCATCCACTTCATGCATCTCAATATCACGCTAAAACACGATGAATAACATCTCATATTTATCCCTGCAAGGCCATGGGAGAAGGTGCTGTTTGTGAACCCCACTTAAGGCTGCAATATCACGTGAGTGGGTCGTGTGGCTTGCAATATGCCCAGCCACCTTTGCTTGCCCGGTAATGATGTTCACACATTGCACCCGGTCTCTCCTTTTTAAGGCAATCTAGGGGAGAACCAAGAACATCTAGGGGAGTTGAACCCAGGTAGAAGGGTTCATGTCTCAGTGGGCAAGATCCCTTGCATAGCCTTGCACAGACAGTTGGGCAAAGCGCTGTTAGCGAGCGCCTATTAAGGCCATTGTGGCGCAGGAAGCAGTGGTGTGACCACAAACAAAGGTGGCTGACTTTATTAAGTGCCGATGTTTACACAATGCACCTGAACCAAGTGTCATTACTCATACTGCTGCTGCTGCCGCTACTGCTGCTGCTGCTGACACTGGTGTCGGTATGCTTGCTGTTGTTAACGCTACTCCTGGCACAAGTGTTGCTCTTCAAGCCGCTGCTGCTGCTGCTGGTAAAGGTGGTGTTGACGCTCATGCCGGTGCCGCTGGTGTTGTGATTCGTGTTGCTGGTGCCGGCTGGCACTGATCGCGTCGCCAGCGCCGGGGACCCACCGGCACGGCTGGGGACAACCGCGAGCTCGCGTCCTCCGCGTCGTCCTCCACTCCCACGGGCGGCTCCACCACCGTCGGCTACAAAGACAAAGATCCACCGTATAGCCTTTAAATTACCTTTTGGGAAAATTCTGTTTGCGAGCACCTATGAGGGGGTGGGTGGTCAGCACCATGCCCGGTTGCATTTAATTCCTTAATGGCAATTTAAATATCACAGCAGGTAGTCATTTGCGGCTGAGTCAACCTTGGAGAAGCCCAGGGCCGGTTCAGACAATCGTCACTGGTGTTGGCCGTGAGTAAGAATCGAACTTGGGATGCCGGGTTCTTAGCGCAGCGCACTAACCGCCGTCAGCTGCACGCACGCGCAAACGCACGGGGGTGCGCACGCGTGACAGAATCGACGATCCATCGGTCGGTCATCAGCGGTGAGCCGCGGGGCCAGGAAAGGCTGGGTCACCGGACGAGAGGGGAGGGGATGTATGTCTGTAGAACTTCTTTCGCACCGTACGTAGCCAACCGTGCTCATCGGAGGTGCGGGAAAGGGCGTGCGCGCACGTGCGTCACCTGGCGTGACCGCAGCAAGCGCTCCAGTGCCTTGTACAGCAGCCAGAGGAGCACGGTGGCGCCGGCGAAGCCGAGCACCTCGCTCAGGAACATGGTGATGGGCCTGCGGAGGCCTGGTAGTGGTGGCGGCAGCGGCAGCGGTAGCAGCAGTACACAGAGGGTACGACGAGCAGGGAGGGTTAATTCAGCACAGGCGGACAAGATCATTGTTTTCATACGTATATCAAATCGATTTGATGACTAATATGTGTAATTTACTTATATTTATAAAAAAAACATATTATTGTGGAGGTCTTTCTAAAAGTAGTGGCAGCCCTGACATCCTGCCTGAAAAATATATTGATCCAGAGAGCTCATGGGCTGACAAGACTGGCAGGTTAGTTACTTGCATGTGCTTAAACAGACCGGTCTGTTTTTATTATTATTATTATTTTAATATTACAGGAGTCTTTTTGAGTGGACATTGGTGGCTGGGCAAAAACCAGAAACCAACCACACTTTGAGAACCCAGTTTAATCCAGGATGGCTGAAACCCAGATGTGAGCCCAGGACCTTGGCAGTGCCAGCCTATGACATGTTGCTGCGAGCACTATCGCACAAACACAGCAATCACTGCCGCGATTCCTACAGCAAGCAGTTTATCCTCATCGGAAGGCATTCATATAATCCGACAGTGGAAGGATCATGATGATAACTGATGATGCTCGGGTGGTAGTGAGCAGTGAGTCATCACTGGAGGGATCAGACAAACTTCAATAAGCAGCGCCAGCTCAACGCTGCTGAAATCCTGAACCCTCCAGCCACTTCACGCCGTGCCTTGTCTAAATGCTGGCTTAACTCAGATACTGCGCAATTACATTTGCATCGGATTAAGTCATCAAAATTGATTTTATGGCTCAAGATATATGCTTTGAAACCTTCCATGTGAAAATAGATTATTTATGTGACCGACATGAAAATCGCGTGTGAATGCCACACTTCGCTAACAGAGCGAACGTACAGACCGGGTAGTGAGAACGGGGCGCAGGACAAGCACGAGGGCAGACAGAGGACGAAGAAAACTCTCGATCGATCTGCCACCCCAAATCAAATGGTGACAATTCATAAAATCGCTGAGAGGGGGATGAACCGTCCAAACACCTAACCTCACACACGATTCCCCAGCTCCTTTGTCGCTTAGCCTTAAACATCGACCAAAATACGCTGGGGGGGGGGGGGGGGGGAGCTGACCGAGCCTCAGGATGGAGAAGAAGAGGAGCCAGAGGATGCAGAGCAGGGGGGCCATGAGGAGCTGGGTCACCGCTGCCTTGTGGGTCTTCTTCTCCATCTTGGCGGGCAGGTACGTGAAGAACAGGTTGTAGCGGTCCACGTAGTGCTTCAGCACCATGTACAGGAGGCCTGCGGATGGGGAGATGAAGGTGGCCGGGCCCCGGGGATCACGATAACAAACCACTCGTGCATGGGCCATCTTTATCACACCGGGTGGCAGCTTGGTGTTGCTTTCGCAAGGCACATCCTGGATATTTATTTTCCCTTTAACAGGAGCAATGGGAGTGTGGCGTTACGCAGGAATGGAGACTCGAACGTGTGTTTTGTTTGTGCTGCGTGCCACATTGGTGAGGACGCACCGTAGCTCACAATCAGAAGGTTGCAAGTTCAGTGTCTGGTGAGAGGCCGATTCACACCGCTTCAGTGGTCGTCCTAAAGCACGAGTGGCCCCTGCCACAGGAATGTGGAATTTTGATCACTGGCTTAGGGTTGTAAACACTCCACTCTCATGTTTATTTCAACAAAATAAAAGTAGTTGCAGACAGCTGTAATGTTTTTGATTTGGGCTGCAAGACCAATAACTTGGAGTTCTGTGGGTAAATACTACATGGAGATCCTGGGAAGGCAAAATGAAAGAAAGCAGCAGTGAACCAAAATGTTTGGTGGGCGGTGGTGGGGGTGCAAAACACTCTACCGAAGGGCGTGATGATGGGACAGATGACGCTGTAGGACATGGTGACCGTTATGATGCACATCGTCCACGCGTACTCGAGCCCGTACGGGAACTCGTAGCAGCAGCGCTGTGAACAAGGCCGAAACACACGATCACAGACAAAGATCCCACAAATAGCCTGTAACAGACTGTAGGGGCGAGTGCTGTTCGCGAACACAAGGCCGGTGTGGCACCCATCCATGTAACAGCGAAACTGCGTTCTTGCGCGTGTATGTATGTATGTATGTTTTGGGAAGCATTGTATAGTAATTTTCTGCACTAGGAACACAGCCACATAAGTTCGACTTCCAGCCATGGGTAACCACAGAGTAAAGCTGTAGCTAAACCTTTCTCGGGCCTCCACGAGGTCAACTCATCTGTTGACTTGTAACTACTGCGGCAAGTAGAACATTAGCGCTGGGGAGTCGAAAGCGGCCGACATGGATCTGGCCACATCACCCTCGTGTGTGCCATGTCGGCCTAAATAAGTGCTTCGCCTGAAGTGGCCGGTGGCTCGTCAGCTGTGCACAGAGCAACTACTGAGTTGCTGGGCAGGACGCAGGGAGCCACTGTCAACGGTAAAGCGGCCGCTCAAGTGCAGCGAGCCGACGGTTCTCCAACACGGAGGGTTGCGCCGCTGTGCGAGAGGATAGCCGGGAAAAGAGCGGGGAAAATTATCTCTTTATTTTTTATATCAACAACGGCCCTCAAGGCAAGAGTGTACGTAAGCGGATGTGGGGGCTTGTTGGGGGCTCCATGCCCGTGTGGACGTCACCTTGCGCACGTGATGCCGGTGTGCGTCCGAGCGAGCCAGGCACAGGCGCAGGCCGTACAGCGCCAGCTCCGGCAGGCGCAGCAGCCGTGCCGCCGAGCCCAGCAGCGCCGCCGTCACCACGTAGTTCACGAAGAACGCGCCGTTGTCTGGCAGAAATACGCACCTGCGCCCGCACGGCGGGGCAATCGTACACACGCACACACACACACACACCTGTGTGAACACAGCGGTACAATCACACACACACACACCTGTGTGAGTACAGCGGTACAATCACACTCACCTGTGTGAACACAGTGGTACAATCATACACACACACACCTGTATAAACACAGTGGTACAATCACACACACACCTGTGTGAACACAGTGGTACAATCACACACACACACCTATGTGAACAGTGGTACAATCACACACACACACACCTGTGTGAACACAGTGGTAAAATCATATACACACGCACGCCTGTATTGTATGAATGTTGAACTTCTTTTTGCACCGTACATAGTCAACCGTGCTAACAGGAGGTGTGTATTAGCAGAGTGATAGAAAGACAAAGATCCCCGTATAGCACTCATTCTCCTAGGTCGACTCAGCCTCAAGTGAGTAGCTGGTGCGGTGTGTAAATTAGGGAGACAAAGGCGGCCGGGCGTGGCCCTGGCCACCCACCCCCTCGTGTGCCGTGCCAGCCCTCATAGGTGCTACTCACGAACAGCTCTTACCTCAACCCGTCTGCACAGGCTGCACGGGGAGGACACTTTTGTTTACGGGCACCGCGGTGGCGAGATGTTAACTCCCTCACCTGGTCTGCAGGAGGTCGTAGGTTCGATCCCCACCCTGACGGCTGCTATATATTTGAAGTTTGCGTGTCTCTCTGCCCGTGGTCATGTGGATTTTTCTCCGGGTCCCCTCCAGTTTTTCCCTCCACATTTAGAAATATGTGTTGGGCTGCTATACATTTCCACGTGATAAGCCACTTCGTTGAGTTATCATTTGTGGCCAGGTGACTTCTGAACGAGAACTAGATAGCTCAGTGGACCTTACTTAGTAAGATAAAATCGCGTCGTTTTTTAGTGAGGAGACAGCACTCACTCGAAGCGGATGGTGCCAGACTTGAGCAGGTCCTTGTCAAACAGCCAGCGGAAGAACACGTCAAAACTGTGACATAAAACCACAACATACACGTGTAGAGGGCGCATACAGCACGACATGCACGTGTAGCGGACGCACAAAGCACACGGCTGGAGAGGGCAACGCAAACTAAAACACTGCCGCATGAGTGAAAGAGAGTGAATGTTTGTGACACGGGTACAGCGAGGATTCGCCCGGGGCAGTAAGGTTGTGCCAATTAGGGTTAGGGTTAGGGGGGAAGCAGGGCAGCAAGTGTGTGTAGTGCACGACTTCGGAGAAGATATTTGTAGAGGCACCTTCTTTCATTAACACACACGATCTCGCCTGCACACACTCTGTACTCGCCAGCCTATGACACAACACGAGCCGGCTGGCATCGGCGGCGCCGACTGAGACAGCTGACGGGCTGTTGAGCAGCGCGATGTCGAGCGAAGACTGCAGCGACGATGGCGACGAGACGACAGCGACGACGAGACCATCCAATCCCAAATCCTCCCTTCTGGAACCCACGAGCAGGTTCCAGGGCCTCCCTAATGGGGCCCTCCGTGACCCTTGCCCCAGTTCCTCCGCCCCGCCCACACAGTCGTGTATCTGCTCACCGGCGTGTGTGCTGTGTGTACACCGCAGTTGCCGCTGCTGGTCACCAGCCGGCGCTATTACACTACACATGTGCTGCGCAGTAAATCACTCAATCTCTGTTCTGTATCTCTGCATAAATTGTTCATACTTTTAAATTGTGTATACTGATGTTAACCCAATAGCATCTGTTTAAGCAAGGAGACTTTGCAGAGGTTTTGACCTTCTGGGTTTCATCAGCAGCATTAGGGTTGATAAACAAATACCACTGGTTTGGCTGATGTTACTGGTAAGAGCACTCCCTGTAAAAGATGGGGCCCTGTCAGCAAAAAGACAAATGTTGTATGGAGCTCATTAAGCGCTGCTGTGCAGGATTACGAGTAATACTGTAAGAGGGTATCTTTGAATAAATGATAACGTTTAACATGGATCTAGAAGGTAAATACATTTTGAGACAAATATTCCTTATAATTTATACGATAATATACAGTTGTTGACAGAGTATTGACACTCAGTGAGGCTTCCCTTTGAAGAATACAGAAACATCCACCAACGAGACATTTGTAGGAGCGTACCTGGACAGGCCCAGCGATGGCAGAATGAGCACCATGAAGATGAGGAAAGTGTAAGTCTTGTGCATTAGACACTGGTTTGTGGCTGACCTGCAAGCAAACGTGAGTGGCGCGTGAACGTACAATCAGTGAAAAACCCTTCAAAGACGGGAAGGCAAAATGTTGCGAATTCAAACAAAGCGAAGGTGGCTCTCAGCAGTGGCCAGCGGTTTGCCATGAGCCGCAGAAGCTGCGTGCGGAGAGATTCCACACGCAGCTCACAGGCGTGTCTTAAGATCCAGCTCAGAGCCTTGGCAATCAGCCGATTAAGTCGACAAAGAAATCGCTCACAACTATTTTTGGGTGGTCATATACTCGTGTCCATTTAAAATTGGTGGCAGCCCCCATATCGTGCTCCCTGAAGGCGTGAATCTCCCAACAAGCTGCGCCCAGTGTGGCACAGCTGATGATGCCGATGACATCACCAAGCCCTGCGTATCATCTCCCGTCCAGTCGCACACGTGGGAACAGTTTAATTGGTTTTACAACTATTCTCGTATAATCTGATTCGTCGAACGATCGAACCGATAATCGGTAGAAGTAATTGATGATGTAAATAATCGAAGAGCCCAGTTCTACGACACCAATAAATAATAATAATAATACGGAGCGTACTTTGTCCAGTGTGCTTCATAGGTCGTGGACTGGTAGACGATGAAGGGGAGTGTGGCTGAGAAAATCCACAGCAGAATGGACGGGAAGAACTGGCTGATGAGAGGGTTCTGTAACGGAGAGACGAGACATCAACAGCAATGGAGGATTTCCATTGAGCGGCGCTTACACACAGAGCGTATCTCAAGCAGCAGTAGCAACACACACGAAGAAACATTTGGCAAGGGTAAGGGACAACAATGAAAGTCAGAACAGAATTTTAGATGCTGCAGTCGAAACAAGAGATGATTACCTAAAGGGGTATTGGAGCCGTTTGAAAGACAAGCGAGTTGCGAATCTCACGGAAAAAACCACTCGACACATCACTGAACATTCACCCCCATTCTACCTCGGTAAACACATTCTCTTTCATAGCCTCACTGAAATGTTTGCATTAACAATTTGGATGTATATAGCACCTTTAATACGATCAACATCTCTAGACACAGGAACAACTGCATACATCCGGTTGTGCGGACGAAACATCAAGTACCGTCAAAACTTGCCAATGACCGGCCAATCACAACAGTAAAACACAACATTTCATTGGGTAAAAACTGGATAAATTGTGAAAACCAAAACATACAATCAGGCCGGCCATATAAAATACAACAAGTGGGAACCTATTTACCATATAGCCACAATAACATAGTTTTGTTTTATCTGGGCCATCCCATTCCGCCATTACTCCTGGATAATGGAGCGTTGACTGAACATATATCTGCGTGCATGCATTCAAGCTCGCACACAGGACATCACGGAACGACCGTGGCTGAGCGCAGAGTCTCTCCCCACGTCCTCACGTTGAGGTCCTCCACAGTGCGCGTGACGTTCCACTTGTCCATGCTGCTGATGATGATCGAGGGCGTCGTCAGGAAGAAGATGAGCACGAACAGGGGGACGTTGATGAGGAAGAAGCGCAGCCACCAGACCCAACCCTGCACCGACAGGTTATCCCTGCACGCTCGCGCGCACACACACGGGTCGGGGTGCCGGTTTAGAGTGTGTGTCCGTACGTCGCTCTGTTCGTCTGTGTGCTTATCCGTCCGTTCGTGTGGCCGTCCGTCTGTCTATCAGTGCGTCCGTTCAGTTGTCGATGTGTTCATCCATAAATCCATCCATTTGTGTGTCTGTCCATATGGCCATTCGTGTGTGTTTATCCGTCCATCCCTTGGTGCATGTGTCTGTCTGTCCGTCAGTTCGTCTGTGTGTACGTGCATCTGTCCATTGGCGCATGTGTCCATCTGCTCTTGCGTATGTCCGATGGAATGTGACTCACTAGCAGATGATTTGCGGTGCCTGTCAATGTGTCCTTCCATCAGTCTGTATGTATGTCTGTCTGTTCATCTATGCATTTGGCTGTATATCTTTGGGGCGCCATGGTGGTGAGATGTTAACTACCTCGCCTGGTATGCAGGTCGTGGGTTCGATCCCGACCCTGACGCCTGTATATTTGGAGTTTGCATGTTGTCCCCATGGTTGTGGATTTTTCTCCTGGTCCGGTTTTTCCCTCCACATTTAGAAACATTTGTGCTAATACGTGTCTGCGCGTGTGCCCATGCGTCCGTCCATGTGCGTGTCCGTGCGTCTGTGAGTCTCACCAGCAGATGGTCTGCGGAGCGGGCGCGTAGCTCACATGCCAGCGAGACGAGCGGAGAGAGTCGCTCACCCGGGAGCGCGTGGGTCGACGCAGACAGCGGCACAAGCCGTACTCGCGCAGGATGCTGCCAACAACGGGGCCGGGCACGGCGTGAAAATCATTACCACGGCACTCGCATTATACCGGGTGCGGCGAAAATCAGGAATCGTGCGTCCGTACGGTAAATCGTAGCAGATGCTTAAACTGCACACCATTTTACTTGGGACATTTCGCACAGGATGCTTGAACATTTCACAACTTAGCGAACTCAGCTCGTATGTTTGCCCTTGGTTGTCTCACGCATGTGGAGCGGTTGGCTTAGAAGACTGATTTCAAATGCTCGCAGAGGAAGATCCTCGCAAGAGGCAACTCCTCTCTTTTACAACAACACAAACAGTGCCGTCCCGACATCTCTGCGTTCCTGAATTTTTCGGCACCCTGTACGGGCCGAGATCTTGGTTTCAAATACACGGGACGGGAGGTAGTTGGGCGATCGAGCCGGTGGCTTTATTTGTCTATCCCAGTTGCTGAGCACGGGGCACAGCGGCGCCCAAGACGCTGAGAGGCCAGCAACAAACGGCGCCATTGAAGCCGCTATCGATCCGACAAGCTGACGCGGCGAGGTCATGAAGAGCTTGAACAAAAAGACGCACGCCTGGGTCATGCTCGCGTCCTGGAAGGTGGCGAAGGCCATGCCCAGCGGCTTGGTGAGCACCCTCATCTTCTCGTTCTCGCACTCGTCCGTGAGCGCCTCCTCGCGCTCGCTGTGGTACTGGACGCCGTCCACCTGCGCCAGCGGGCGGCCGGGCCAAGCGGGGACGCGTGACGGCAGGGGAGGAGGTTTGTTAGTCGGACTGGTGGGGGGGGGGGGGGGTGCCGCTGTTGTTATTGAACATCTACTGAGGTTGCAGAGAGGCATGTGAAAAAGACAAACACAAAGATCCCCGGTAGAGCCTTTAAACAAGCTGTTGTTGGAGGTGCTGTTAGTGAGCACCTGTGAAGGCAGGCACAGCACATGAAGAAGATGCGTGGACAACACCACGCCCTGCCACCTTTGTCTCCCAAGTGCTGATGGCTACACATCACACCAGGTACTTATTTTAGGTTGAATCGACCCAGGGGAGGCCCATGACCGGTTCAGATAATCATCATTGGTGTTGGCCGTGAGCATAAATCGAACTCGGGTCGCCGAGTTTATGGTACGGTGCTTTAACCGCTGCACCACCGCTCCCCAAACACACAGGCACGCACAATACATACACGCACACAATGCACACACACACAATGCACACACACGCACAATGCACACGCACAATGCACACACACACACAATGCACACACACACACAATGCACACACACACGCACACAATGCACACACACACACAAGCCGACCTTCCGACAGATGCCGCAGATGTCGCACAGGCGGAGGCAGCCCTGGGCGCGGACTCGCACCATGACGGGTGCCCGCTCCTTCTTTGACATGGACAGGCAGTAGAGTCGGCCCTGCATGGCTCGCCGCCTGGCACAGGGACACACGCCGGCTCTCGTCACTCGGCGTGATTGCACTCAACCCACGCAGCACCCTCCACATCACGGGGAAACCTTTCCTTCATAATGGCCGAATGGGACTTTCAAATGCCCATCGATGGACCACGCATACGCTCACACCAGTTGCTTTCGTTACTGCGAAAGGCCCCTTGCTCTGGTTTGCCTCCAAGTTCTGGGAAACCCTTTAAAAACTCTTCAAATCATTTGAATAGGGTAGGAAATTAAACGTACAAGTTGTGTCCCTATTGGACCACGTGTATGAGAGTTCGAGCGTTCTCCTCCATTCATGGACAGATGGACGGGCAGAGCCAAATCATCAATGCTTTCAACCGCAGTTGGAAAAAGTTAAAAAGTTAAATTGAGCAGGAGGGGCTGACATTCCTGCAATAACTTCCCCCTTATGTTTAACTCCCTAAACACCCTTCCCCTTTATTAGTGACTTATTGTTCCTTGTTCTGCTTCGCTGTGTTCTATATATTTATTATTTTGTTGAACACAAATGCGAGATCTGTGCTCACTGGAGAATATGCTCGTCGTATGTGACCCCACCCACTCACTTATACCGACACTTTGACATTTTTTTTTATTACGAACAGAAATAAACAAATCTCATCTATTCTTATATCAAAGCGTGCACAAATTTATATATAGCCAGGGTTTGTTTAATGTTTAATATACAGCAGGACGTCGTATTTGTACGGATATCAAAATAAGTCACCACCGTACCAAATGTCAGAAACCACAATTTTGAATTAAAGCTTTCGTGACTGCAGGGATTCATATTATTGGTTCTTTCGGTAAAGTCACGTAAAAGGGAAACAATCAACTAATAAAAATTATTTCATAATACGAATCCCTGCAGTCACACCGCATTCCATTCTCTTCTTCTCCCCCCTCCTCTTTTCCAAACATCGATGGACTCGTCCATCTGAACAACTGCCAAGTCGCTGTCTGTGGTGCTGACGTTAAGAGAAAAACGCCACTTTTTTCAAATTTTCTTGCTGTGGATTTCACACCTGATGATGCTTGCTTGTGTTGCAGTTGAAACGTCGTGAGAATTTTATTGTTTTATATTTGTATTATTTTATTGTTTCCCTTTTACGTGACTTTACCGAAAGAACCAAGAATAAGAAACCACAATGTTTACTTTTTAGTGTCCAGCTTCATGAGTCGTTGAACGTCGTAGCAGAACTGTACCCCCGTCACGGTGCAGCCCGGGTATGCCTCGCTGCGAAACACACGCACGCACCACGGAGACACACACACACCACAGAGACACACACCACAGAGACACACACACCACAGAGACACACACACACCACAGAGACACACACACAGAGACACACACACAAAGACACATACACGCACGAGGGAGACACGCTTGCTCCCTGTTGAGCCTTGTGGACTGTTGACCATTTTCATCATAATCATCAACCACTATTCATTATCAATCCACCACCTGCATTTCCTGAAGAAGTGCATTGTGGTTCTTGTCTTAATTCACCGTCAAAACAAATTTGAGTAAATGTAACAGACGGAGATGCACGAGCGACACAAAGCTCGACTTATCGGTACAGTATCGTCACCGATGCTCACTGCTGGAGTGATGATTGACGCTGACGAAGGCCTCCTCAATGCCGTCTCGCTACGTGATCTGCCTCGCACCTGCACGTCAGCCGATTTCAGCTGACGTGATCGCTCCATAGCCTCTTCGGGGTGTTCTCTCCCTTGGCTGCCATTCCCCTGCTAGTCTCGACTGCCGGCCATCACCTCGCACTGTTAGCGAGCCACCTATCGAGGCTTGGATGGCGCACACGAGAGTGGTGTGGCCACTTTCTCACACGCATGTGTCTCTCTCAAGTCCTGCTATTGACCATGCAGTATTCATGCACTCGTTTTTGCTTTAGCCGATATCGGGAAGGGCAAAGGTTAAGTGGTCAGTTGCCAAAGGTTTTATTTGCAGACAAAAATGATGAGTTCAAAGTGATCTTGAGACGAGTCCTGGGCCACCCCCGCACCGACGCACACTGACAAGCGTAGCGCAGTGAGGTCTGGCCAAACAATCCCCACGACCAACAGGATATGTCAAGGCCTTCATCCAGCAGTTGATGGACAATGGACTGTCTATTACTATTTTTTGTTTATATTTAAACATTTTCAATGACTAACTTCTATAAAAACTAAAACTAATTAATGTCACCAGGTAAGGCCCCCTGAGCTATGTAGCTCTTTTTCAGAAGCAATCTGACCACAAATTATAGCTCAACGAAGTGGCTTATCACGTCAAAATGTATAGCAGCCAAATAATCTAAACGCACGTTTCTAAATCTGGAGGGAAAAACCAGAGGACCCAGCGAATGAACTCCAAATATACAGGCATAAGGGTTGGGATTGAACCCACAACCTCCCGTATACGAAGCGAGGTAGTTAACATCTCGCCACCGTGGCGCCCTCTATATAAATTACATATTTGTGTCCACTGCAACACACAATGAACTACTTCGGAAACAAACCGTGTCTTTAACACCTACCTCTGGGCAGCTGGTCGTGGGCTCAGTGGCTGCGAGGCCACATGGCCACACAGAGCCCTGCCACAAACCAGCGTCTGATGCTCAGGACAGGGGCAGTTCCCCGTTACGGTTGTACTCACTGGAAGTGTGCGGCCACGATAGCTGAGTTGGTTATTTCTTTCGGTAGTCCAGTGATGAACAAGGTTCTCATCTCCTAGAGGGGAGGAATAGCAACAATACATTGCATATATAATGTCAAGGTTCAGAGGTTATCACGGACACTTTAGTCGATTGTTACCACACCACACTATTCCTTATTTTCTTCTCATAGACACGAATACCGTTCCAAAGTTTTACACACAAAGTGCTTACCACAAATGAACCACAATCCCTTACTGATCTCGTCAAGGAGCAAAAATCATCACGCAAACTCCGGTGAACCTCGCAGCGGCGTTTGGCTAACCATCGAACAAAGACGGTCACTTCATTGTGCGCTTTTAGATGCGTTTCTGCAGCCGTCTGGAACACGCTTCCTTCCGATACGAGGAAGCCACTGGAGCTGTGCACTTTTTATCTAGATCGGAAACGAATTTATTTAGAACTGCTGTCTGTATTTAGTCATCCTTCTCCCGCAAGTACAATTAGCACGGTTGGCTATGTATGGGGCGAAATAAATTCAACACACATACAAAGTTGACAGCTGACCTAAAAAAAAACCCTGTCACACCATCCCACAACAAACTGGAATGAGGTCTTCCCTTAGTCACTGACCTCTGAGCACTATTCAATTACCAGTCTCACTAACCTGCCCTCCTCCATCCTGCACGTATCCTGCACAATACTGCCTCCGCATCGACAACTCCGTAGAGCAGTGTTCTTCACTGCGTCACTCTAAGTCAGTGTCCTTCATTGCGACACTCTTAAGTCAGCGTTCTTCATTGCAAGGCGCGCGGGCCACTGGTGGCCCCAGATGGCCTTTAGCCCCTGACGTGCGGCCCCCGACAATACACAAAGGGTGAAAACACCCCCCATCATCATCATCGTCGTACTGCTGTCAAAGCCAACAATGGTTTCAGATGTGTGGCGACCCTCACACAGGTGAAGTCTTATCGGCGAAAGAGACCCACCTCTGAAAATGAGAGAAGGACACTGCTATATACCTTCACGATTGTTTTATATATGGAAATGAATTTACATAAATTTGTAACTTGTTCACCAATTAGAGGAAAGTGGAACAGGATAAAAATAGTCAAACAAAGAGGCAAGCGAGAGCAGGGTGGAACGATTTAAAAAACACGAAACTGCAGCTTTTAAAACCGCTATAGATTAATAATCCACTGCTTGATAAAGTTTTAAACAACACACAGAATTTTGCAAAAACCACTAGCATTTCCTGAAGAAGAGCATTGTGGTCCTCTTGTCTTAATGGAATGAGGCAGTGTCGAGGCTCAATGTGCCCATCTTTGGGCTGTGGAGCCTCACCATGTTTTCGTGCTTGTGGTCAACGAGCCGTCGATGCCTCTGCATCCAAACCACGGTGATGAAGAAGTAGAGGACTGTGAATGTGGTGTGAACCCACAGGATATTGTTTCTGTGAAATGCACACGTACAAAGATCCCCCATATAACCTTAAGAGACTGTTGGGGCAAATGCTGTTAGGGAACACCTGCAAGGCCGGCACAGCACGCGAGGGGGTGGGTGGCCAGTGCCACGCCTCGCCGACTTTGTCTCCGTCGTGGTGATGTTTACACATCGCACCAGGTACTCGTTTGAGACGTATTCGACCGAGGAGAGGCCCAGGACCGATTCAGATAATCACCACGGGTGTTGGTCATGAGCAGGAGTCGAACGCCGGTCACCAAGTTCATGGTGCAGTGCGCTAACCACTACCGCTCCCCACGAAACAAACACAAACGCACATATATAAACATCTCCATTTAGTCGTATAGACTGGAGGAGCAAGCGCCATAAGTAAGCACCACACACATATCGACCCAACCAAACACATGTGAAGTCTCCCACTTGGCTTTAGAGAATAGCAACTTATTTGAGTCAAAACATTTATATTTTTATTGAGTAACAATCATCGTTATCAGCAATGATCTTTCCACTGCTGGATGAAGGTAGTGCTATGCATTATATGGGTTTTAAGGAACTGTATTATAATATAAGTGTAGTGCTCTACTTAATTACATTACATCTTACTAGGTGTGTAACACTTAATGCGCCACATTTTCGACTTGCTCTAGAATTAGACTAAAGACCAGCTGTTGTTTTGTATTCGCATTCTGCCCAATAGCATCGACTGGAACACAAAAATGCACTCTCATGATCACTATGCAATAAATCATGCATGCAAGAATCGACAATTTTCCATTCATATATGTTGCGTGGGATTACTTCATGTAAGCCACATCAGCCACTACAGATTCTAAATGAAACGCAACTTCAAACAGAAATTGACTCTTGAATCAAAATCAATCCCCAAATTGAAATTATTCATAAAATCCATGGAAGGGGGATTTGTGAATTGTTAAACGCATACTTATTACAGCTTCACTAAACCATGGTTTTAGGACAAGTGGCTGCATGAGCCTCTGATGTTGCATAGTGAACCCACATTACTGAAATTACCATCACAAGCAGAACAATCGTTAAATGCGTGGACGTGATTGGCCGTAATTCCTACCGATCGTGCATTAACGAGCCTCCAATCTGCCAAGGCGCCCATTGACCCACAGGCCCATTGTGTCTGCTAAATCTCACCGTCATTCCGCGAACGATTATTTTACGTCTGCAGGATGTGCGAAATCAACCTAAAACACGTAGACTGGGGTACTTACGATGGAGATATGTTGACGATCGTTGTACGGCCAAAGTTGTAAATGTCACCACCTGAAATGTAAAGTGCTGTGTTATTTCTAGATTTGAAGCTTTCGTGTTATTACCCATTGATTTACTTTACACTCACATTCATCACGTTTAGGCTGGCGTCAAGGCGATAATTAGGAATTAGGCATTGTGATTGATACACATTATCAACGTTTACAAATGTACAAAATATACCTTATTCACCCATCATCATCCTCTCTCTCCCCCTAACAAAGGAATACAGCCAAACGTAGATTCATGTATAATCCACTTCTGGATGAGGGCCTCTCTCATGCCTGTGCAGGTCGTGTGGATTATTGTGACCATACTTCACCACACTGGTCAGTCCGGGGTTGGTGAAGGAGGGAAACACAGACGCGGATAGACAGATAGACATAGCAAAAGTGAATTGCGTTGCATTGCCCTCTGCTGCCCACTACTTAGCATGGCCCCACAGCCACCTATGACAACCCGTTTGTGCATGGTGGTCCCCTATCTAAGCACTACTTAGGCCCAACACTGCTTAGATTCCGAGATCTGACGAGAGCGGGAATACGGTGGCGAGATGTTAACTACCTCGCCTGGTATGTTGGAGTTCATCAGTCCGATCCCGACCCTGACGCCTGCTGTATATTTTGAGTTTGCGTGTTCTCCCTGTGGTTGTGTGGATTTTTCTCTGGGTCCTCCGGTATTCCCCTCCACATTTAGAAATATGCATTTAGGGTATTTGGCTGCTATAAATTACGACGTGATAAGCCACATGTTGAGTTATCGTTTGTGGCTAGGTCACTTCTGAAAAATAACTATATGGCTCAGGGGGCCTTACCTGGTAAAATAAGAAAATAGTTTAGTATTCAGGGTGACTTGGTCATAGGGGAAGCTCGGTGTTGACAATGTGTTGGCGTTGGTGATATCGAACAATCCCTTGGGATGACTGTTTGTCTCTGGGCATTCGCGCACCCATCATATCTCCAGAGATGTTGATGGGCAGGATGACACCCATCGAGAGCACGGTGATGATGCAGAGCAGGCCGATGGCGTAGCGCTGGAAGGAGAGGTAGTAAACAGCGTCCACGCCGCACCGAGCATGGAAGTCCTCCTGGCTGGACAAAGATCAAGACAAAGAGCTGCCTTGTGCAGCCTTCACAGATTCTTGTGGGCGAGTTGTATGAGTGCACACTGTTAAGGCAGGCACGACGCACGAGGCCGAGATACGACATTTGCCGCCCATGTTCGATGTGGCTGGGAAATGAACTTGGTTCGCTAGATTCGTAGCAAAGTACACGAACCACTGCATCACCGCCCTCTGGCTGAACACACGCGCCAACTCAGAGATCCCTAGACACCAGCAAACAAAACGTACATTTCTCCGTCTCCCCATCCATTTGGCAGGGATAAACTGTCCCGTCAAGTGCTGATCGTGTGTACATGTTAAGGATACACAGCTCAATACTGGCCTTTGCACCACCCAGTAATTTATCACCCCAGTGCTGATGCTGTTGTCAATATCCCATTGGTCCTCAATGTCGGCCACAGAAGACCAGGAAATAAACCTAGGTTGCCCAATTATAGCTCCATATATATACAAAACATCACTCTGTTAGAGAGCACCTATTAAAGCAGGGACGGTGTAGGAATGAGTGGTGTGGCCAGCACCAAAGCTACTCAGTTAAGACCGAGTTGATCGAGGGCAGATGAAGCCGTATGGTTTGATGTCAATTCACATTGACGCTATCAAACTCTAGCCGCCTGATTCATAACTCTCTCTGTCACTCCTCTAATCAACAGATGCATACAAACAAAAGCATACACATTGAGAAGCACTGCCACACACAATGTATAAGAGCTACAAAGCCACGAATAAATGATAGACCCGCATACATAAACACAGGGTATAGACTAAGTTTTACATGAATGCTCAACCAATTACAAATGGATTGTAGTTTAGTAAAAGGACGGCAATGCTTATCATTTATATCCTTTTATAGACATATGTATACACATAGGCAATATTATGTAATACACTAACAAAGTACAAATGGACACGTGTGTCAATGTCAGTCTCTCCGTGTCAAGTCTGCATCTCTCACCTGACCCTGAAGCTGCCTCTTATCCAAGAGAAAATGCCCTGTAGGTGAGACGCAGGCACACACACGTTAGATAAACAAGTGACTCGAGGTGGAGTGATATTGTGTGTGATGGTGAGGCACGTGGCGGCAGTGGTGCTGCTGGTGGTGGTGCTGGTGGTAGCGCTGGTGGTGGTGGCGGTGCTGGTAATGGTGGTGACCTTGGTGGTGGTAATCGTGGTGGTGCTGATTGTGTTGCTGGTGGTGGTGTTTGTGGTAGCTCTGGTGGCCGTGCTGGTGGTGGTGGTAGTGCTGGTAGTGGATGCTGCTGGTGCACTAAAGCACAAGCATCCCCATGAGCAAATCTTGTAGATATGAACCTAGGCTGATCAAGTTTGAAGCGTTGTAATGGAAAACAGTTAGAGTCAAGGACATGTCATGATGGCACTTGAGTAACATCACAACAACGAGACTTGAGTTTAAACTTGTGTCGAGTTTTTTGTCCTTCCCTGCACCTCCAATTGGCACGATTGGCTACGTACGGTGCGATCTCCCTCTTCCACTGCTCAATCATCAGCCTCCATCCAGTTTGTGTTGTTGTGAATCCCAGTCTTCTGAGGCTGTCCTGCACAGTCCCCTCTGTGAAAGTGGAGTACTATCATTTGCTCTAAGTTGTTGTGATCCAAGGGTCGATGCGGCGAAGAAAAAGGCACCTTGTAGTGGCCCTCCTCTTCATAAAAGCTGGCCTCTGACATGGAGCCCTCTCGGTCTGTCTCGCTGTAGAAGAGGGACGCCAGGCTGCACGGGGAGACACGGGAGATGCGTCACAGCGGCGATGGTCATCGAGACACCAGGGCGAGAAGCGATTTGCACGCGTGGGTGAACGTGTGCGGGGCGCGGTGTTGCAGCAGGTAGGGCACTGCATAACAATCCCACTCACGTCTCAGCAAATCTTGGGACTGATAATATTGGGCCTGTTCTGGGCCTCACCGAGGACAATTCAGAATTAACCGAGTACCCGATTGTAATGTCTAGACATCGGCAAAAAGGATATTAAAAGTGTCCCGGTGTGAAGCTGGCCTCATTGTGTGCTGTGCCGGATTTAGCCGATGCTCACTAATACCGTGAGCCACATCACTTGGGTTTGAACTTGTCAGATATTGGATCGAGCAGAATACATCACCGAAAACATTACAGCCTGCAATGCTGCAGGAAATGGGAATGTTTAATTCTACATTTATATAAATACTAAGCAATTAAGATTTTGATAACAAACGCCGACTTCATTTTTTCCTCGCAATATTGTTCAGGAAACTCTCACTCGGAAGCGACTCTAAGACCTGGCTAACTTATACGATAACAAAAATATATACCTAACAATCGTGTAAAAAATATATACCTAACAATCGTGTAAAAAATATCTACCTAACAATCGTGTAAAAAATATATACCTAACAATCGTGTAAAAAATATATACCTAACAATCGTGTAAAACATATATACCTAACAATCGTGTAAAAGACACTTTATTTATCCAACTGTGTGTGTGCGTGTGTTCAAAGGGGGCACCTATCTCTCTCCGACACCAGCGCAAGCCGCCCGTAGTTCCAAGCTGCCTTGCGCAGGTAGGAGAACACCAGCACAAGGGTCTGTGGAAGGGGGCACGCAGGGACAAGGCAGCCATTCGTCTACAAGCAGTCACGCTATTCACCAGTGCACGTGGTAGAAGTAGCAGAATATATATTTTGAAATCGATTTCGCTGAAAAGGTGAGACTAAAAATCAGAGCCCTTTTCTTGTCGACACGTGTGGGGCTGTCCGACACATGCTTGAATACAGAGATGGTACAGAATAGAGGAATGTTACGCGCTTGGCTGGCAGAAACCGGGAATTTACGACAGTGTCTCGGTCACAGTGGCTGAGTGCTCCGACACAGCAGTCAAGAATTCCCTGAACCACCTAAACAGTATTAGCACTGCACCTCGTGTCATAACTCAATGCCCGATTCAAAAATACAAATTGGGCATCATCACGGTGATACACCACTCCGCTACTCCTGATGCAATCATCTGGCTCAACCACCTCAACGTGAAATCACGGCCGTTAACCTACATAAACATCAGCCGTACGAAGAAGAAGACTGCCTGCAGCTCGTCTCGACTCACCAGAGCGACGACCAGGTTGGCTAAGAAGACGGTGGGGATGCCCCCCATGGGGCTGCCCTGCAGCACCGAGCTGTGGGGACGCGCCCCGTAGCACGTGTGCGTGTCCACGGGTACTGGCACGGTAGGCTCGGTCGTACCGATGGTGCCCGGGGTACTCCCCATCGTGCTCTGGGGCGCTGTTGCCGCTGCCGCCGTCACTGCTGCTGCTACTCTGGAGGCCCCGCCACAAGCGAGCCTTAGGGGGGGAGTCTTTACTCACCCCTGACCCTGCAATTATGCCTGCACGACAAGGAGAGTTTGCATGTAAGTACAGTTACCGGTCGATTATCCGTGGGTGAATTATCTCGGTTGTGGATTCACCGTGCTTGAACAATAATCCCTGTAAGATTTTCACAAGCATGCTCGTTTTTTTATTAGTTGCTCCCGACTCGTCGAGGGTCTGTTATCCAGTGTCCATGTGTCCGCATCAAATATCGGCATCACATGGCTCTACACAAATGTTAACAGGCTCTGCTCTGCCACAACGCCACTCACCAGCATGTAAGGAAGCATGATTTCAGAATCCAACCGATAGTCATGCTAACAATACGTGCAAACGATACGTGTATGATTCATAGATAACATTTCCAAACCATGTCATAATGTTACACTTGGGTTAATGCAGCAAAACAAACCTCGTACAAACTAGTAACAACATCGGACACAATACAGAAGAGATGATAAATGAGATCATTTATCATAATAATAAATTATTGAATCAAATCGTTCACCTGAATCGAGACATTTCATCAAATTGCTATGGGAGTGAAGCATTAGGTGCCTACCACCCAGTTAGAGATTGAAAATTTATATTGTATTGGCAATGGTTTGTATAGATATTGGTGTGTATTGTTATTGGTTTGTTTTGGTATTGGTCTGTATCGATATTGGTGTGTATTGATATGGATTGGAATTGGTGTGTAGTGGTATTGGTATTTGTGTGTATTGGTGTAGGAGTGTATTGGTGTGTATTGGTGCTGGTGTGTAGTGGTATTGAGTAGTGGTATTGGTGTGTATTGGTGTGTATTGGTATTGGTGTGTATTGGTGCTGGTGTGTAGTGGTATTGAGTAGTGGTATTGGTGTGTATTGGTGTGTATTTGTATTGGTGTGTATTGGTGCTGGTGTGTAGTGGTATTGAGTAGTGGTATTGGTGTGTATTGGTGTGTATTGGTATTGAGTAGTGGTTTTGGTGTGTATTGGTGTTGGAGTGTATTGGTGCTGGTGTGTAGTGGTATTGAGTATTGGTATTGGTGTGTATTGGTATTGGTGTGTATTGGTGCTGGTGTGTAGTGGTATTGAGTATTGGTATTGGTGTGTATTGGTGTGTATTGGTATTGGTGTGTATTGGTGCTGGTGTGTAGTGGTATTGAGTAGTGGTATTGGTGTGTATTGGTATTGGTGTGTATTGGTGTGTATTGGTGTGTATTGGTATTGAGTAGTGGTATTGGTGTGTATTGGTGTGTATTGGTATTGAGTAGTGGTTTTGGTGTGTATTGGTGTTGGAGTGTATTGGTGCTGGTGTGTAGTGGTATTGAGTATTGGTATTGGTGTGTATTGGTATTGGTGTGTATTGGTGCTGGTGTGTAGTGGTATTGAGTAGTGGTATTGGTGTGTATTGGTGTGTATTGGTATTGGTGTGTATTGGTGCTGGTGTGTAGTGGTATTGAGTAGTGGTATTGGTGTGTATTGGTGTGTATTGGTATTGGTGTGTATTGGTGCTGGTGTGTAGTGGTATTGAGTAGTGGTATTGGTGTGTATTGGTGTGTATTGGTATTGAGTAGTGGTATTGGTGTGTATTGGTATTGGTGTGTATTGGTGCTGGTGTGTATCGGTCTGTATTGGTATTGGTGTGTATTGGTATTGGTGTGTATTGGTGTGTATTGGTGCTGGTGTGTATTGGTGTGTATTGGTGTGTATTGGTGCTGGTGTGTATTGGTGTGTATTGGTGTGTATTGGTGCTGGTGTGTATTGGTGTGTATTGGTGGGTATTGGTGCTGGTGTGTATTGGTGTGTATTGGTGTGTATTGGTATTGGTGTGTATTGGTATTGGTGTGTATTGGTGCTGGTGTGTATTGGTGTGTATTGGTGTGTATTGGTGTGTATTGGTGTGTATTGGTGCTGGTGTGTATTGGTGTGTATTGGTGCTGGTGTGTATCGGTCTGGATTGGTATTGGTGTGTATTGGTATTGGTGTGTATTGGTGCTGGTGTGTAGTGGTGCTGGTGTGTATCGGTCTGGATTGGTATTGGTGTGTATTGGTGTGTATTGGTATTGAGTAGTGGTATTGGTGTGTATTGGTATTGGTGTGTATTGGTGCTGGTGTGTATTGGTCTGTATTGGTATTGGTGTGTATTGGTGTGTATTGGTGCTGGTGTGTAGTGGTGTGTAGTGGTGTGTATTTGTATGCTGTTGCCGTACTTCGATATTGGGGGAAGCGGTGTTGCAGTGGTTAGAGCAAATCATTCACCATTGCAAGGTTCTCAGTTCCAATCCCAGTCAGGGGCTGACTCAGCCCTTTATCTCCACAGTCAATGGGTGCCACTTTATGGGAAGTCAGCAGAGGGCAGCCTATAAATACTATGAATAATATAAATACTCATTCCCATCTAAGGAGAATTAAAATTACACCACTGCCTCAGAATCTTAAACAGAATATGAGAATTATCCCATGCTCGAAAGGTTACTCTGACTTTCCTCAGTTATTAAACGTTATATTAATATATTATATATGAATAGCTCATACGGGATCAAAATTATAAATGTATAACACCTGCTGGCATTGTGGGCATCAGATGAGATGCTTGCAGGCATCACTAAACATGACGTGACAGACGTTTTGTCCACTTCTTCCATTGCCCAGGTTACAACTTGTATATGCCATCTCTCATTTGGACACAATACACACTAACAGGTAAATCGATTCATGAGAATACAAAAAGACCTGCCATATTTGTATTTGTGATAATAGAGCAACTTCCCAATTTCCAAGAAGGGTGCTTTGTCGTGGCATCACGTGCTGTGCTTCATGCCTGCGTCCACAATCGTGTTCCGGTTAAAGTCGCCTATGATTGGATTAAATTAATTAAGCCTAGCTTCTAATTCTATTTCATTCACTGCGTCCTTAATGCATCATACTATATTCGAAAAAAACAGTTTCCTGCCTCGATTCCTGCCTGGATTCCTATCTGCCTGGCTGGCACGGCCAAGTGCGCCATGACGTCACCTGCACCCCCGAGTGTTGAGGCTGCTTCGTGCGTCACGCTGACGCCACGCTCCATCCCCTCACTCCCCTGCACCCCCCATCCTCTACAGAGGCAGAGGAGGGAGGTGATGGAGATAGAGATGGGAGATAGATGTGGGAGGTGAGGAAAGAGAAAGAGAGGTAGGGGAGGGAGGAAGAGACGGAGAGGAGGGGGGGGCGTCAAGCGGGGAGGAAAGCGAGAAGAGAGCTGAACGCAAAGAGGAGAGAAATCGACGGGCACTGGAAGGGGGGGTTGGGGAGAGGCGAGAGAGATTGAGGCTGGAAAGGGAGAGGTGGGAATCAGCAGGGCGAGAGGCGAGAGAGGGAAACAGGGAGAGAGATGGGGGGGGGGGGGGGGGAGACAGTGGGGGAGGAGAAGAGGAGAGAGGGATGAGGGGACAGGGGGAGATAGAAGAGGAGCAATAGAGGTCAGTGGGCCTTACCTGGTAAAATACTAAAAATAGTTTAGTTTTAGTTTTAATGTGCTGTCAAATAACGTCCTTATCCACCAGTGGATTTACAAAATGAATTTTGCATACAGTTACATCTGATTACTTTTGAATAAATACTTATTTGAACAAAAAATGTAACTTGAAGTCCAGTAAATGTGTCTCTTCCGGTTTATAATAAGAGATTATGTGATCAATGATTGACCAATGTCATGGTCAAATAAACTATTAAACGATTATATATTTTACCAGGTAAGGCCCACTGAGCTATGTAGCACTTGGCCACAAACGATAGCTCAACGAAGTGACGTATGTGTGGACATGCATAGCAGCCAAATACTCAAAACGCGTGTTTCTAATGTGAAGGATTGTCCCTGATTACTAAACGTCTTGTTTTTTGAACGGTGCCTTCAATACGGGACCGGGTAACTGAACTCAAGAGCCTCCCTTTGGGGAAACAGATGCTCTGTGTTTAACTGCATTGAACATATTAGAGGCTACATCAAAAGCAAACGTAAAAATGTCAGCTATGCTGCCATTATCATCAGCTGATAAATTATTAAAATGGACAACAGCTCCTCCATTTACCAATCACCGCCCACCCTGCCCCCACCACTCAATCCCATTGCGTCCTTTAGCAAGCGCTAACGCACTGTGAACAATGCCGTGTCCTAATTTATATCTAGGTCTTGCATGTACAGTGTTTTTATTAGACGTTTTAATGCCTATGAGGCAGTATCTGCAAGATGCAAAAATCTCATCGGACAAGAAACCTCGTGATCGCTCTTAAAGCATCTGACAAGTCACCCCCCACTCCTTCCCTCCTGTGATTCTATGAAACCCTCAACACATTCATCAATAATAACACTGTGGCCTTAAGAGGAAACACATACCTCTTAAGTAAGTCGCGTTTCGGACAAGTCCTTCTTCATAGCACATTGATTGCACGATTTGTCACAATATTCGTTAGAAACTGGGAGTTTTACAACATCTACGTGATCTAACCCTTGATGCCAAAGCGCTAGATTACAGATGTATTCCACCACACCCACCTTGACTGGGAATCAAACCCAGGACCTCAATGGCATTGGCCAAACGGTATAACAGAAGCATTACGTGCCACCCTGAGCTACCAGGCCACCTAAAATATAGGTGCATCCGAGTGAAATGAGCATGGGACACAATCGGTAACTCTGCAATCATCATCCGTTGAATCTTGTCATGTTCACAAGCCAGCAGATAAGATATCAATCCTGGCTGCAAGGCACCTCATTAGGAGCCATGCAAGGGTACAGACCCCCCCCCGGGATTAGATGAATTGTCCAATTTCTAGGTCACGATTCACTTCAGCAATTATATTCCTCATGTTTTTCTTCCCCCGTAGGTACAGTTTAAATTGTTCTGCAATGTGTTTTCAGCTTGTACCGCGTGTTGCTCGGCACGATAACTGAGGTTTCGCTCGTGCACATGGTACAACTCGAAAACACATCGGAGAATTACACTGTGCAAATGTGAAAGTCTATGCAGTAGTGCTAAGTGTGCAATTTGCA